TGTGTGTGTTTCTGTCTCTGTGTCTGTGCATGCTCTTGTATTTCTATCCTTGTTGGGACCATTTAAGATTTATACTTTAAGAGTGAACACATTTTTAGCTGATTCTTACTTTTTGCAAAGAGTATTTTGTGTGAATGTATGAATGTGCAGACTGATTATAACAAGTAACACACAGAAAGCAAATCCTGGACATTATAATGTCTCAGAAACCTGAATGTCTCAGAAACCTGAATGACATAGCAGTCGCCAGAACCTTGCAGATGACTGAACCTGACAGGTAACACCATGTTACGTCTGTTCATTCAGAGGCAGCTGATAATAAGCATTCATTTATCAGCTCTTAGTTCAAACAGAGTGGCTGGAATATCCGTTAAAAATTGAATGAAGCATTTTGGAACTTGGCAAATGCTAATTTTAGGCTACTTATTCTAATATGTAGTAGTTTTAATCAGCCTTTGTTGATGATTCTCATTGGATTTGCTGTTCCATAAGGAACACCTCCTTAAGTAAAATGGCAATTCAGTCAGATTACAAGCTAGGGTGAGTTTTTTGTGCATTCTTTAAATTATAGCAACGTTTCAATTTGTTTTGTTACAGGAGGTAAGAGCTGTTTTTGACGGGTAACATATCTTTTTCACAGCAGAATGCAGCATAAAATAGTAGGGTAAACACAGCTGTTTCCAATGATAATAATTAAGGTTTTGTTCCGTTTAGTGCAGCAGAACCTTTCCAGTGAGTCACCATGCTTAGTAGCAGCACACTGACTCTGTTTAACCTGAATGGAACAAAACCTTAATTAGTATCATTGGTAAAAACCTGTGCTAAACATACTGTGTTATGTCAAAATGGCTGCTGGAAAAACAAGGTCCAGGGTGTGATAATAATAATAATCATTTATCAATATAGTACCTATGTATATTGCAATCGCTTCAAAGATTTTAGAGCTAAGCCCCCGATCTTTACTGTCCCTTGACTAGCCTCTGCTGAGGTTATATTATGGACAGAGGAAATCCATTATGTCAATAGGAGGTGTCACAAGTATGGTACAGATATATATGTACAGTATGTGTCTGTGTGTGTTTCCTTACTCCACAAAAAGAAAATAACATATACACAAATATTGATGGTTGTATTTATGTATTCAAATATAAATCATACTTTCTATAAGGGTACAGCATGCAAATAGTACAATATTACATGCATGAACAAAGACATATTTGTGTCAGTGTCAACAAGTGTGGGCATAGTAACCACATGTTGGATAAGGTCTTAACATTATGACGGTGCACTGAATTCTTCATATTTGCATAAATTAAATGGAAAAAAAGAAATCCCCCAGTGTGAACTCTCACAGTTTTCCTGAAGACCTTCAAAAGGTCTTTGCTGCTGGCTCCGGTCTAAATAAAGTCTGACTCTGGCAAGAGATGAAATGACTAAGATTTAAAATGGATGAGTTTGTCTTTAACTTTTCCCTCACAGCATCAGGGATTCTGGGTTTAAATCTCAGCCCAGGTGCTCTCTGTAAGCAGAGGAAAATAGATTAAGGAAACGTGCCTCTCATGTATATTCCCAAACAAGGTAAAAGCCAACTCTACACACAAGGGTGGAACGCTGTACGATCATGTTTTATATATGCTACCACTACTTGGCTTGTTAACTGTCAGATGGTGGCTAATGAACCAACAGCTCTGCTTTTCCACATCTGGCACATGCGATTTCTCATACATGCATAATTTCTTATGGATTTGCTCGCTTCCCTGAGTGAAGCAGGAACAGCGCCCCACACCACCAAAAATGGACTCCAGGATATTAAAAGAGCTCCAAGAGGATGTAAACAACTATCACCACAAAATAACACAGTGATGTAAAGCAGCAACATGAAGCCATTCTGTAAGTGGTGTTTTCAACTTTATCTTTAAAAAAAAAGTATTTGAAAACAGCTTAAAGATTATAGCTACAGGAGGTCAATATGGAAAATATATTTACACAGTATAAAATAAACAGAATGTAACTCTGTTATGGTGCCTGAGAGGGAACAGGATTAGGGTGAAAAAGTAAAAAAAAAACATAAATCTTACTGCCACTACCCTTCAATTTCCCATCCATTATTTCACTCAGGTTGTACTGGCCATTAACTGCCACTTTATGATATCCAGCAATTCAGACAATTTCATTCACCAGAGCAGTAAGGTCATAAGCACAATGTAGGAAGCCTACCGTGATGGTTGATTTGCCAGCATATTTCCCGTACTTCAGCAATAAAGGCTTCACCATCTTCTTTTGGGCCACAATCTGAAAATAGCAAGATAAACACAATGTTGGCCTTGATCCCTTAGCAGTAAAGAGCAGTGTACAGGGATCTGAGTCATCAACATCAGTGATAATTATCCATCACTTGCTTTGACACTATACATAGCAAATATATCGCATGTCACAGACAAAGGGGGCTGCTTTAAGTCTTTGATGGCAGACAAATCACAGTTTTTAGGGCACTTATCTAACAGAACTTTAATTCAACAAATACAACTCAATAAAATGGGTTAGTAAGACAGTTGCACCTGCTTACCTGGCCGAGAGTGCACTCCACCCCACCCAGAAAGTCATCATCGCGGGTCCCAATGCTGTGAGTGCCATGGATGTCATAGACTTCAAAGCGAAGCTTCTGAACCTCCTCAAAGTGGTAGTCCCATGAGAAGACCTTGGCAAAGACCGGGTGCAAGTTGCTCTTGATCACTTCTGTCCTGTCCAGCTGAGAGGGGAAACACTGAATGAGATTCTGGACCTTCGCTCCCTTTCATCGAATACATTTAGACATTGTAATATTTCTTATTTTAATTCACTAAATGTGTGATTAAAGCAATAGTAGACCTTATGGGAATGAAGCTTTTCTTTGACAAAGTGATTTACACATTGTATCCTATATACTTTTTACAGCAAGATCTCTCAAAATGACATTGGAAAATACGACTTACAACATATCCCACTTATTTCAAGGAGCACCAGCGTATATACTTTAGAAAAGCAAGTGTTATTATGTTTCGTCAAGAGGATCATATGAGAGAAGATTGGAGAGCTCGGACATTTAATCTCAGCGTACAGAAAACGTCCATGCTTGTCTTTCACAGCCTGACAAGGAAAAGATGAGCTCTCTGAGGCCCCATCAGCTCATGATGTAGGATTTAGCTCTCACACAGCTCCATGAACATTTATATACTACTTATATGTCACAAGGACAAATCATCATACATAACATAATATCTATGGAAGTTATTTTTTATCAGTCAATAATATGACCATAACCTTTGTTTGGTCATTATTAAATACATGCAATACATGCATTTTCATAATATACTGTTTATGTTTAATTCATGCCTTGGGAATCTATGAAAATTATACACCACAGAACGGAACAGAGCCTTCATCTATTAAACATTAACTGGCTTTAGTCCTACAGAAGGTTTTACATCTGAAAAAAGCTTTAGTGGTCACCCTACACATTGGCTTGGACACAGTTTTGTCTGTCACGATGTCCAGAGTCATTTCTTCATTTTCCGTGCAGCAAGACCAGACTTTGAGTCATGATGACTTCAGAAATTGGTGATATTGCTCTCTTGTTTCTTTCGTCTCTCTTAGTGATAGACTTTTTACAGAAAAAAAGAAACTGAACTGTTTTAGGAATAACATGGTATTTCAAACAAAAATCATGCTGCTTACCACACACACACACACACACACACAGAGAGAGAGAGAGAGATGCCTGAGCAATAGAGCAAGAGGAGAAAATTCTCATTACTCAACTCGTCTTTTTAATCATACAGTGCCTGCAATCAGGTGATTATATTTAAGCTGCCTGTATCAGTTATCATTTTACTATTTTATAGCAACTAACAAAACAAGTAATAAAAAATCACACATTTTGGACCACCCTTTGAGTTGGTTCAGTTGAATCCTAGCTGTCAATCACAGTCTATCAATGCACACAGGAGTCAGACTGCTTACAAAGGTGAGAAACATGGCATTTAGCTGCGATCATGGACTGAAAATAGAACATAAGAAAAGATAGGCTAGCATATGTTGAATGAACCTGCTTGGCCCACTGACTCTAACTTTAACTTAACTAAAGCCAAACGGATTTTCAAGTCTGTGTTGGCTAACTTCGCCAGCCTGCCCACCTGATGTTAGCTTGCTGGTCGAACAGAATTTGGCTGTGGAGATGCACACACACACACACACACACACACACACACACACACACAACATAATTACCAACAGGAACTGCTCCCTCTGTTTCCCATTGGTGTTCAGTTTGGTTGTGATCTGGCAACTGTGAAGGCTATAAAATGTGATTGATATCATTTTCATACTCATGAAACCAGTCAGTGACCCCTCGTTCCCTTTGAGCGGGGGCATTATCATCCTGAGGGTGACCACTCCTATCAGGATAGAAATGTTTCATCATAGAATAAAAGTGATTAACTTTGTATATTGTATTGTATTGTATATTGATGAAAATATTCTTGTTTATTGTATTGTTATGGTTTTTATCTTTGTTTGACACTGTTGCCAGTCTGCACACTGAGCAAGGACGTCTGCCCGAAACATCTGTGCATGAATAAACAATTTAATTGAAGTGCTGTCCTGCTCATGACTTTTTGATTTTTGCTTTTGAGCATTCAGCTCCCTTGTATGCCTGATTATTTATTCTTCTTTGCCTTATTGCCAATTTGCAACTTGAGTTGTTGTTTAGTAAATGGTTAAACAGGTCACATTTGTTCTTTAAAATAAAGGGTTTTCTGTGGTTCTAGATGAATGACCTGATTGGTTCTTCAGTTAACACCTGCCTCACATTTCCAGGTTTGTAGTATGCAAACAATAATAATAATATGTTCACAAATGGATGGTTAGTAGGAGTGATTTCTCTACAGTTTCCTTTTCACTCTGGCAAACCTCACAAAGAAAGAAAAGAACTTCCAGCAATGACTTGGCTTCCGCAGCCTCATTCATCCCCACTTCTCTCTATTGTCTTTACTTGCCTTCTTCCTCCTCTCTTTGCGCCATCTGGATGGACAGATTTGGGATGAGTCTGATGAGTCTGTTTGTTGATGAAAGCTAATCAGAGATACGGAGGATAGGTTGTGCCGAAGTCTGTGACGCCTGTTTGTTGTTGGTGTGGAGCCAGAACTACGGCGAGATCCCTGACATGGAAAATTGAGGCTTTCTCTAATCAGTTCTGCCAAGCAGGTAGAACATTATCTATGTTGCTCGATCATAACAAGCTCCCTGTAGATTAGGTTATATCAACAGAAAGATCAGGGTTTGAATTAACTCATTATCATGGGAGTATGTCGAGTCCAGTTCACACAAAAAGAAGGGAAATCATGTCTGCCCTGCTTCTGCGTTTGTCCTTGGAGGAGATCAGGCACTGAAATAAAGTAGTAATGAAATAAAAGCAGTTCAGCAAACAACAACTGCAAGTCAGTGGGGCCATACAGTATGAGCTCAGAAACGGGAAAGAGGGTGGCGGTGATATGAGTGGGCTCAGCCTCTTACTCAGTTGTTGACGTAAGTAAACAATTTGCACAAGCAATGTTGCCTCCCAGTACTGAGGGATTTGACAGCGGAGGATTGAACAACTTGTGTACATTGTCAGGACTGTCAAGACTCAGATAGATAGATATAATGGTGGAGGGAAGTAGAGGTCTTTTACTTCAGTACAACACTATAAAAATGCTCCATTCCAAGTAAAAGTCTTGCATTACAGGTTTTTCTCAAGTACAAATATTATTTTGGGTTGTATATATTATATTACTGGACTATAATTGCAAGGAGAGCATGATTGTAATGTTTTAGCAGGTTGGGCTGGTGATAATTCTAAGTAATTTATATATAGGTAGTGTAATCAGATAAATGTAGTGGAGTAAATACATACATACAGATAGACAGATAGATATGATAGATAGATAGATAGATAGATAGATATTCAGACATCACCATATTCTTCAGTTAGCTAAAAATAGCCACTCATACACATATATGCTGCACTGAACCCAGGTCAGTCATCTCATGTAACAACCTCCTTACAACCAAGAAGAATCCATAACTGTGTGCTCAAAAGTGTCAGTCAAGTGTTCTTATCATCACTGCCACAAAATAGCTCGAGGTTCCACATTCACACAGCCCAAACATTACAGCGAGCATCTTCCACAAATGGCTCCCATGTGGCAGGGATCGGCCAGAGTTGCAGTTAATTATTATCTCCCATTTCCCTGAAAAGAGAGCTTTTTATTGAATGAAGGGTTGCGGGGGAAATAAATCTATACAATTAGTTATTGTCAGCCATGTTTTAACACATCCTCTACTTAATGGAGACCTGCATTTTGGCTTCCCCTCATGAACTAAATTACTTAATTAACAGGGAAATGAGAGAAATCATGCCCACGCTCCAAATCAGCTTGGGACCGAACCAAGAAAGTAAACATTTTCAGCTGGAACACAACTCATCACACAGTACATCACCAGCCTACTGTTTGTCCATACATGTAGACCAGTGGGATTCATGTTCTGCTGTATAATATGTTGTAAATCATTGAATTGTGGAGACAGACTAATGCTCACTCTTCCTCTGGAAGCTGCATTTCACATTTTTAATTCTGAATCAGACAGCCGTTGTGTGAGCAATGACCTTTTTTCTGAAAGAGTGAATTATCTCCCTGGTTGATCTTGAAAACACGGGTTTTGGGGGGATAACTGGAGTGGGACTGAAAATGAATCCCAATGTGTAAAATTTACACATCACCACTGCTTAATCTTAAAATCTGAGCTTTTTTAGATTTGTGACACTGGATAATGGAGGCAGAGCTATCTGTGCTTTCCCCATTGTATTTCTGTGCAACCAATGAGAGAGATCACCTTAAGGTGCTGTAATTCAAAACTCTTAACACAACAAATAATATGAACATAGCTGGATTAATAAAAGATGGTGGATTCATTTTTAAAAACTACATCCTGCTGCCTATAGAATTAGTGATTGAGGAGATCTCAACCTATCACTTCTTTTCCCACAAGGTCCAACTGTGCATTTGTTTAAGTGAAAGGGGGTCAAAGGATGGGGCTCACCTCTGTCCACTGTCCGTTGGTCTGTACCATGAGTATGACACAGGGGTCTGACTTATTCAGCGTGTCTCGGTCCAGCAGAGCTTTGCAAGACACACGCAGCTCCACTTTGGAGACGCAGGTAGCTGGACCGCTGAGGCTGGTCGCAGGGGAGGTGGCCTCCTGAACGTCATTCATCCTGGCGCAGGGCAAGAGAAGCTGCCAACCAGTGAAGCAATACGGTTGGTAAGGCTGTTGGTAGCTCCGAGGGATGGGAAAACGCAAGTTGGGTGGGTTGAGGGATCTCAGTAAAGACGTGGCACGCTCACAGGAGACAGGTTCTTTTGAATTGGTACAGATGTCACAAAAAAGAACAGAGATTCCTGTGTGAGTCCCAGGGGACCAAACAAAACCCAATATGTTATTACTGCCTGTCAGAGCTATCCCCCCCTTGTGAGGCGTATCATCTCACCTTAGTAATGATGGGAGGCAGGACATGAAGGTGGTAGGGTTGGAAGGGTTGTGCTGTCAGGAGTCTAGAACAGATCCATGGAAAGATTCATTCAACACAATTAAACCCGGAGCTTCCTCTTTTAAGTGCCCTTAATTCAAGATTGAACAACGCTATCCACAAAAATATATACAAAAACATAGACAAGACATTGTCATTTTGTGCATGCATTTTTTTATCCTGTTTCAAGTACTAAATAGTTTACATGGAATGAAATTGTATTTTTTCTTTCCCCAACAATGGGTAAACAAGTGAAAGTGTGTGATAAAATCAGAAATCCCACAACAGACACATGGCTGAGTGTCTTTTTTGCCCAAAGGATAACATAAAACTAAGAAAACGACTTTGATTTGTTTCAGCTCCAATGAGGCATGGCACCCGCCCTGCTGAAGTGTCCTTGAGCAAAGGGTTTCTGACGCCACTTAAGTGTTTTAAAGGGAATATAAAGTGTGGATTTCTATGCCGGCATCATTTACTCTGTGTCACATTCTCAGCAGAGAGCTGAACAAGTGCACGGCACTGTTTGGCTTTCAGCACCAGGGACAGCGCCCGTGGTTCTGTTTACCAGCTGTGACTCTGGACACCAGATGTTACCCAAAAAAAGCATCAATCTGAACATAAGCTAAAAAAAACCTCGAAATACAATCCGATTCATAAAATACGAGCCAAGCAAAAGTTCTAATGTTTAAAAATAAAAAATAAAAACCCCTCTCGGTAAAGCAACACGTCCGCTCCTGAGAGAGAAAGGCTGCGGATTCAACCTAACAACTTACTGAAGGCGATGCAGGAAACGCTCCTAAATGCTTTCTTTATAATTCATCACAATAAATGAAACACATCTGTAATCACATCTGCAAAATCCCAACGCACAGTTACCGATCAGGGTTTGCAAAACAAGGATCTAGCTTTCCTACTTACAACAAAGCAAAGCGTCGTACTAAAAAACACCGAACAGTGCACTTTGATAACATCGTGTGTCACTGACTGCTCTTACTCACTTCCAATAAGACAATCTATAGCTGATCAAAGACAATAAACACACACACACACAAGCAAAACCGCAAAGAATCCCCTCATCAAAACAACTCAGTTTAAGAACTCACTTCCTACCTGCCGTTGTTCTTTACTCTTAAATACACTTGTTTAATCCTCTCCCATAACACACTGCCTTGAATGGTTTTTTTTCTTCCCTCAGCTGAAACTCATTGGTCAGACTGGTGAGGAGGGAGTGGGCTCGGCGCGCGAAAATGGGGAGTGGAGAGGAGTCCAGCTGCTGATGTAAGGATGGGTTTTTTTTTGGTTTTTTCAGTTCAATTCAGAAATCGAGCTGTGGAAATGCGTTACAGATCCTTTTATTGATTATTATAAGATGTATGCGGGGGGAAATATGTGCATGCTGCTTCTTATTTGTGTGTGTGTGTGTGTGTGTGTGTGTGATTTTGCTGACATTCAGGCTGAAAGAATGGTAAACTTGTGATCTACGAGCAAATCAATGAAACGCATCTAAGGGTGAGGCATGCAATATCATACTCTTCCACACTTCTCTCCTTTCACCAGTAATCCTATGCAGGCTCAATAGAGGGGTTTTAATATATATTTAGACTTGATAATATCGATCAGATTTGTTCTCCAGCTACTCCATCCTACTGTAATTATAGTGTCACACTGTTAACAATCCTCCATTAGCACTATGATCATGTTTACATACTGCATACATTACACAGTTCTGCATACAGTAGATAAGCATCTCTCAACTCTGCTCAGATTGAGAGCAATTTCCTCCAATAAGCTCGCAATCTCAAATAGAATGTTTGGGCTCCATCACACCTGTGAACATAAGAGGTGGAATCAGATGCTTAGATGATGATCCTCTCAGTAGGATCCATAGTTTGTCAATTTGTACTCATATAAGAAGGGAATTAATGTCTAAATCACCTGCCTGGCTTTGTCTCACCTCAGTAATAAAAAAAGCCAAGGACACAGGTGAGACATTTCACAGCAAAACATAAACATAAAAGGACGGATCTTCCAGCAGCAGCACATCACAACCAGATCTCCATGTGGGAGCTCCAGACAGCTGAGGACCTGTGACTCTGCTCTCTTACCTTTATTAAATACACACACACACACACCCACACCTGTATTGTATGTGCACATACTTGAGTCTAATGTCATTCACATTAAAATGACCATGAACTGATTCGTCAGTGTAGATCTTTAATCATTTGACAGCAATGTATGTTACGTAACGTATTGTTTCTACACAGCATTTATGCTTGAACCTTTTCACAGTACACCCACAAATGTATTATTTTCATGAATGTATTTCCAGACATTGCATAACATTTATAGATTTTTAGGCTGCACTGACAAAACAGCAGCTCTTTGGAGAGTTTCAGAAGCGAAGGCCAGGAAAGACAAAAGAACAAAATGACTTTTTAATTTGGGTTCATCGAAATAAAAACAAAAAATGAAATAAAAGCTACGGTTTGACTGTTTAAAAGTACCTTGTGATGCTTTCTGTTAGTTACTGTGCACTTTATGATAATAGAAATGTGTAGGCTTCAGCTGTTGCAACATTTTACACCTTTAAGGCTTTGAAATCTCAGGATTCTGAAGTGTCCTTCACACACAAAGGACACTTTCATTAGAGCTTTGCAGCATCACAACTTTGGCTTTGATTTCTAGAGGACATGGCTGATTCTTTGAGAGTTAACAAAATCATGTGTGCAGCAGACAGGCAGGTCAATCAAATTATTCCATCAGCATGAAAAATAAAACATTTTTGCTCTCTGCTTTTTTAATTATTTGCTCTGTTAAGTTGATAACTTACACCTCAAACAAAGACAAAGACCACACTTCTCTTACAGGTTGATATTATCAGTGACATTCTTTAAACATAAAGTTGCAAATTCATGCCTGTGCTATTTTACATGGAAAACTTTCTGCTTTATGACATAACCATCACCTAAAGTCAGTTCTCTCCTGCAGTTTTCACCCCCACTGCCCCTTCTTCCATGAGTATTCAGAGTCTGCTTTGGGGCACACACCTGAGCCCTGTTACGCCACAGCTCCAACCAAACAACGGCCATCTGCTGCTGCTGTGTCGGTTCAACACCTCACAGGACATTCCCTGACTTTACACATGGATTATCTATTCAGACTCCCCCCGCTGCTTCTCCCCAGTCACATTCAGTGCTCGCCTTGGCGCTGCTGACCACATTGCGTGTACAATAACCCAGCATGGCCTGATGCACTCGCACTTTCAGTCAAGCTCGCCCGGTGTGTTGGTGTAACATCATCCACAGTTTTCCACCAGCAGCTCCCTAGAGTAGAGGTATTTTTGGACATAGGTAGGTTTTTGGAAATCTTGAAAGGCATTATTGATTCTAAAATCTTTCCTATTGCCGATAGTAGCTGTAGCATCCCTGTTAATGGTAATCAATCACCGAGTTTGTGTTTCAGCAGGCTCGATTTCAAGTAACAGTTGTCCTCATTATATTTGTCTTACTGACCTACAAATACTGTGGGCAGGTCCCCTTTAACATGATACAGGCAATATATCACAGGGTTTGAAGGTGACACTGCAGGAGTACACATGCAACCTCAGTTTCAGTAGTGTTCTTTGCTGCAAAAGGAGCAGCTGAGAGGTACAAGTGCATCAGTATGCAAAATGAGCATTTTTAGCTCTCCACATTAGCAAATTCAGAGATCAGGTGAGCAACTGTGAAACACTAGTCATTCCCACTGTGCACAGAAGAGAGGAAATTAAACTCTGAACTCTAACCAAAGCAGGTATTTGGCATGAAAAATGTATCTTCCAAAAGAGATGCAGTGGGTCTAGGGCTGCACTAATATTCTCATCAACATTCTTCTAGTTAACTGATTAATCATTTAGTCTATGAGACATCAGAACAACGAATAGTGAAAAATACCTGCCACAAATATCCCAAAAATTCAAAATCCAAATGAGTTTCAACCAGCATTCACAATAACCAGAGAATGTTTGGTGTTGCTTGATAAATAATCAATTAGCATATTTGTTGCAGATTAATTCTCTGTCAAAAGGGTAATCAATTCATTAACTAGTCATTTCAACTCTGGGTCAGTCTTATGTCATTAACTTAAAATCCTCTCCTCATCCTGTTTCTGCAAAAGACATTTAGATCCCATATTGCATTGATTTGAGTACTTAATTGATTTGTTATTGCTTTTATAAGCAGTTTATCATAGGACAAATCAAACTCACCTCGCTGGTGAATAAGTGAAATGTGGGGGTTGTTCACAGTGTCCAAATCTTGACTAATTTATTCTGCACTCAGTTACAGTTGCTTTAAACGATGGAAAACATATTTAGGTAAGTGATAGTGGTTCTAAAAATCCATGGTGTCCTGTTACATGTGTGTTTTAAGTAAATAGATTAGTTTGCAGTACCCTATCTTAAGGACCATCAATCAGAGTTTCTATTTCATCCATACCAATCATCTCGGGTCCAAAATGATTTGACTGTCCACTCACCTCCATTAACTGAATAATTCATTTGCATTCAGACAGTGGGAACACAAAAAGGACACTAAAGGAGACACAGACAAGGACACTTAGCCTCACTCCAATCCTGAATTTTTTGTATAGGGTGACGTGATCATTTTTGCGAGTGGACATTTTCCAATGGTAATGACTAATGAATTCGAAATAGGCAATCTCACTCATTAGGTGAGTTTCTCTGTTGTTTTGTTCATTAACTTTTTATATATTCATTTCACCTTATCAGAACAACACAGCACACCCGACATGTGCTAACAGTTTAGAAAGGTCCAGAGTCTCTGTTGTCATAGCAATGTTTTATATTAACAGTCCGTTTTGGTTCATGTCTGGCAGCATATGACGTTCTGTATGAAAATTAAAATTCTACTTTGCCTACCCCCCGCACCAGAGCGCAAAAATGTCCCACTGGGATGAATTTTTTTTCTTGCTTTCCACCTCTCCTGACCTTCCTCTCGAGGGCTGTCGCTGACTCCACTTCTACCCGTGCATTATCATGCTGTAGACAGCGTACAGGTCTTCTAGTATTATAATAGCCTGTCGTGTTTAAGAGGCTCTGCCTGATTTTGAATTTTCAACTTGATTTTATTTCTGGTGACCTGTCTGTGAAAAAATAGGAGTTAACTGGAGTTCAAAGTAACGCATCAGTTGATCTTGTACCACATGCTTACTTTCTGACTAAATTAATCTGATTATAGATTAGGAGATTGTATGCCAACTGTCACTTTTAAAAAATATAGCTGTTAAAAATATGTATTTACAGTTCCTCAGTTAGTCAACAACCCCTACTCCTAAAGGCTTTTGTGTCTCCATTAATGGGCTATATTTTGTGCCTCTAGTGCCACCTACTGCTGTAATTATGAGTCTAACAGACACTGAATCCTAATTTCAGGTTTTAGTTCATAGCCACCGCGCTTCATACTGATGTCAGTTTATCATCAGTTAAATTTTAGTGACAGGGAATACAATTGTTTTGTACTATGAACTGCTCAGATTTCGATCAGTAACTGTCTATGGGCTCAGAAATTCTACAGTATGCACTATATAGACCCTTTTCACAGACATTGCCACAGTAAGAACACCACAGGTGTAAAGACTAAAATTGATGAGGGTTGAATAGGGCTGGCATTATGAAGCTTAGTTACCTGAATAGAGCAGAGCCATTGTTAGTTATTAGTAACACCTGTGCTTTTCCTACAGTTAAAAGTTGTACTGTGTAAAAAACCTGCTCAGATTAATAGGCTCAGATCTGATTTCTTTGGAGCACAAACTTCTGCTCAAGTTATTTCTGCTGTTTATTCCCTATTCCCAAAGCAATATTACAATTGAAATGAACTTTTATTGTAAATACTGTTCCAGCAGAACACATTTGATACCATCTATAAATCAGATCTTTCCTGTGGTGATACCTGTAAAAGTGTATTTTCCCTAGTTGTCCGAGGCTATTCCATCAAGTCCCCTTATCAGACTAGTGCTACCACAAAAACCCAAAACAAGATCATAATCAAGACACTCATATTGATCTTTTTAAACACTTTATTTTGCAAAGTTCCATAGTGACTATTTTCACTTCTTCTTTTCCACGTCTTGCTCAGCAGCCTCTTTAGCTCTCTTGGCACGGATGCCAAAAAGACGAGCATTGGCGCGGGCCATACGCAGGCTGGGGAAAGCCTTGAAGTTCTTCTCATCCTCAGAGATAACCCGGGCCTTCTCCTTCTTGTGTACCTGGAAGAGAAAAAAAATTAACTTTACATCTTCTACCACTGTGGCAAATGTCAAAATCCAGCCAATTTAACATATTGATATGCAAAAAGAAGTCCAATTTACACCCTAAATATTTTGGGAACAAGAATTTGTTTTTCCAGTTTGATTTAAAAAGCAGTCATCAGATAAGGGGTTCAAATGTTTCATCAAGGAAATACAGAGATTCCGGAGATTTGTCATCATCGACTGCCACGACACAAAAACACATAAGATGGTTTTTATCATTCTTAACACACCACTGAGGACATGCCAGTACAGCTACTTCATGTGCTATTCTCTTTAACGCGGCACAGCGCTCCACTTCAAACTGCAGTATTGAAGCTCTGTTTTCTTGCACACTGGCCAACAGTGAGTGGATGTGCATATTTAAAATATGAGCCAACCCTGACTTAAAGTCTTATGTTCTGGTTTATTAACATAATGGCATTTACAAGACCAAACTTTATTTACATATCTTGATACATATTAATGACAGATGCACTTAATGACATGCCGTTAATAATGAGACAGTGTTCTCCACTCCCTCAGTCTCTTCCTGTGGGAATATCTTGTGCCCATTTTAAAAGTAATGGTGCTCCAATCAAGGTTTTTGCGGGTAATCGCCGACCACTAGATCAGTATCAGCCAATACAGATTACAGTCTATTTAAAGCCTTATTTAACCAACACTGTATATTAATATGGAAATTCATTATTAAATTGTGAATTGACAACTTTATTGGCAGGGGAGGTATAATCTATTTCTACAGGTAATTTATTTCACCACCTTATTTTGGTGTTTACTCAATATATTATGTGTACTTGCTTCACCTCCCCCCTTTCTCTCTCTCTCTCACACACTGGCCCCCCCATCTCTTTCTGCTTCTCCCTAATGTGTCATTCAGGCAGTATGTGTCTGCTCTGTTGACTTTCGGGGTCAGCATTATGTTTTAAAGTCACGGAAGAAACAACTCATTTTGGATTTCTTCACCCACAATTCCATTTTCAGCAACTCCGCCG